CGTCGCAAATTAGCCTCAACACTCTCACTGAATGTGGTTNTGAGCCAGCCATCACCCAACGCATCCTTCGATGGCACCGAGTGCATTCGTAGACTATTGTCGAGGACGACGGGTATTAGGTTGCTTCTGGCTGATTCTTTCCGCACCTCAATGGTATGTTCAACTGAGTCCTGTTTGACAAGATTCACCTTGCTGGTAGATGTACCCAATGCATTGTCTAATCCAATCATGTCGCTTGCCGAAGAAGTTGCGTCCACAAAGGGCATCGAGCTTTCTTCCTCGAACTCTTGTTGCAGATCCATATCATGCAAGGTGGTTAGACTACGTACATCATATGCAGCGCGATTTCCGGGTTCTTCGAATCTGCTTCCTATACTTCTACTGTTCACGAGTGCAGTCTGCTTTAATCCAGGGCGTTTGTCAGACACCCCTGTTAAAACAAATGAATCATTACTTATGCTCACAGTCTGTGGTGTTCGTGCGATAGCCGCTGGAACTGATGTCACTTGGTCATGACATAGTTTACAAGCTCGGACCATTCCTGTAAGGAAAACAGATTTCCCATCAACGAAGTAGGATGCACAAGAATGGCAAAAAACTTGGCCACAAAATCGGCAATGATGGCGTCTACGAAACATATTGAATTGTAGTTCGCACTCGTAGCAAGTTTTGCACAGGCGGTCTGGCATCCAGTAATCGCGAGAGTGACGATGATCTGCGACATTGCCCAAAGACTGGCTCGAATCATTACATTCACCTGGAATTGCTTCGCGGCGTTCTCTTCTTTCCGAATTTGGTGTAAGTTCTTTGAACGATCGCTTAGCATCGCCAGGATTCGGAAATGGCGTTAACCTGCACGGATCGTCACTTTCGAGCGGAGCATGCTGGCCAAGACCATTGAGCAGCGAAAAAACCCAGGTTGCACCGTTGAAGTGAGCGTCGGTCGCTGGTTTACGCGCATAACGACCCATGCTCATGTGCGGGGTCAAGCAGGAGGGGGGCACAACGCGTTGCTCGGATTGTGCACCTTGTCAAGAAGGCGCAGCGTTGGCGAACAGGAGGCGCCCCCCCCCAAAACAAAATCGCATGCCAGTGACAAGAGAGATACTAGTACAATAGTAGGAAGGGCCGGAGGGGCCGGTTCGGAACTTTGCGTCCGGAAGTCCGGCGTCGGCGCCGGCCGCGTCCGGACTCGCGTCCGGCGCCGGCGTCCGGCGGCGTCCGGCGGCGTCCGGCGACGTCCGGCGGCGTCCGGCTCAGGTCCTGAGTCGGCGTCCGGCGGCGTCCGGCGGCGTCCGGGAAACTTCAACTTGCGTCCGGCGGCGTCCGGCGGCGTCCGGCGACGCCCGGCGGCGTCCGGCTCAGGTCCTGAGTCGGCGTCCGGCGGCGCCCGGCCAAGGCCGAAAACAAACTCTGAAAACGAATAACCCAAGGTGATACTTCCCTTCAAGTATTCGTTTCGTTGAACATTTAATTGCGACTCCCAACCCGAACCGGCGACCCCACACCCTGAAAGTGTCTCAAATGATACGATTAGCGCGCTAACTCAATGCACGCGCCTGGCGGGGGCGGTAATTCAACGATTTTGCCAACATTTCAGTTCGGCGGTCGACCCGCGCGCGCGTGGTCGACGGAGGACCTCTATGACATACTACGGCCGGCGGCCACAAATAATAAATAAATACTTCTACGGGCGCGCCCAGCCCTATGGTTGTTTTCGGCCTTGCGTCCGGCGGCGTCCGGGAAACTTCAACTTGCGTCCGGCGGCGTCCGGCGGCGTCCGGCGCCCGTCCGGCGCCCGTCCGGCGGGACTTCAACTTGCGTCCGGCGGCGTCCGGCGGCGTCCGGCGCCCGTCTGGGACTGGTCCGGCCGCGTCCGGGGCCCGTCCGGGGCACGTCCGGGCCGCGTCCGGACCGCCGCGTCCGCCGGACGCCGGGGGTAAGGCCGGAAGTTAGATTTTTTAAATCGTTTGCTCCCGACAAACCAATTGTCCGAGTCCAAGAGTTAGATTCTCGTGCAGGTGAGCATGTATTTGGATATGCAACGTCCGAAGCGCGCGCTCGCGCGAGTATGATCATTTGAGCGGTGCTCATGGCCCTGCAGCGCCGCCGGAACGCGGAACTGTGCAACGATCCCAGTGACTTCGAGGTCCGCATGGACGAGGGTAAGGCACATGCGAAGACACGACGCTCATACGACCGCGTGGCGACTGGAGCGGGGAGGTAGAGTGGGTGGGAAGGGACGCGCTGCCCCCTCGCGACCCCTCTAAGATGGTTTTCGAGCCATCGCAGCAGCGGAGATCGTTTGTCATCGACCCCGTCGCGTCCAGCGCGGCGGGTTCCTCGGGGGAGCCCGAAATCGCCGAGTCCACCGGGACGAGCTGCCGGCAGCGTTTCGTCCCGACGGTGGCCGTGGGCATTTTGCGCCGGTGCCACCGCACGGCGAGGGTCGCGCCGATCTCGCGCCACCACGGCGGCGGATGGAGGCCTTCCCAGTCGGTTGGGACCACCTCTCGGCGGCGCTGAGACGACCGGCACCGGCTTCGGCCCGACGCCGCCGGCGCGGCGGGCCTCACGAGGCGTCATCCCACCCTCGGCTGGTCCCAGCAGGCAAGCGATGTCGTCTGGGATCACCAGATGCGCCCCTACGAGCCTCCGGGCTGACACGGGCGTGGTGCGCGGGCGACCAACGCGCGTAAGACAATTTGTCTTTCGTGCTCGGGCGGCGAGCAAATCCGCTCGATCTGCTGGCTGGAGAGAGAGAGTTTTGGTAAATCTTTCACGATTTCCGTCCACTTGGCCTTTCGTATCTCCCACTAGCCTGAGCTAAAGGAAGCAAGTAAGATCCTCCCTCAAGGGGGGGTTGAGCTCAGTTTCAATTAAAGATGCCAGAATGAAGGCCGACGGACCGCGCTTGGATGGCGCAGCCACCTCAGCGGGGATGGAGGAGGGTCGGGCAGGGCGGGTGCTTCATTTGTGCCGAAGGAGGGTGGTGGGCGGTGCCGTAAATGCAACTTGCTACGAAATCGCCATCCCGGTACACCGTATTTTACCGGTAATTACCCGGGTAATCGGGATTACCGGTAATTACCGTGGTATTACCGAGGCGGCTCGGGGCTTTACCGGTAATCGAGCGGCCATAGCCTCGGCGGGCTGCAAGGTCGCCTACTAAGTGATGAGGAGAAACTATCCAACTTCCGATCAAACGCTTCAATCTTACCATTGGAATAGGCAATTGCTTGGAAGATAGCTGCCAATGTCGCAGCATTGGCTGCTGAAGTTGCAGCTGCCTCAGCTGCTGCTCACTGACTCAGGGCTACTGGACGAACGGGCAGAGGATCTGCCTCACTAGGTCCAGGAAGACTCTCCGTCTATTACAGTGCGGGACGCAACTACGGCAGGGTTAGAAAGTATCAAGGAAGGGAAAGGATGTTGGGTGGCTCTGTACCAGCGAGCCACTAGGGAGATACAAAGCTCTCTATCTCTCCGAGTCTAAGAATAATTCCTAAAGTTGTGCCAGTGAACCAAGTATCTTGTATCTTACCCGCCCCCGCCTCCACATCTACCATGGTACATAATACCGTTGGTCACCGAGTCATGGCGCGATGGGCCCCCGTCCTCATATGCACATCCGTCATGAGACGCGCGCGTGGGGGATACTCGCCATGTCCGAATTTGTGCAGCGGACATGGTAATTGCCCACTGACTCGGGTTTGCGAGCACTCTGGCAGAGTTCAAGGATGATTCGGGTGATTGTTCTAATTAGAGGACGCAGGTGCTTCGAGGGGTGGACTGGTGCAGACTGTTCGCTAAAAACATGCCCTTATGGTTCAGCATGGACCGACAATGTTGAGGATATTCCTGGTGAATTCTATTTTGCCATACTTCC